GGTTTGATCCAATTTTTTTTTTATTTCTAAATTTAAAATATTAAACAATCTTTTTTTTTTTTATTCCACTTGTTTCTTGTTAATATTTACCCCCACGACTCTGAACAGACAAGTGAGAAGACAAATAGATTTTCTGTTTCTTAAACGTTAATTTTCTTACCTGATCAGCATGTAAACGATCGATAGCATAAAACAAATGAGACAATGTTGGAACATTAATATCAATCGGTTTAAAATCACTCACAGTGCACGTGACAACGGAGCACAGACAATAAAACTGCAATTGGCAGAAAGGAATGGATAAGATATCGCAAGTATTTATAGAAAACATGTTTTCTTTCTTACACACCGAACGAATAGATCATCTTGTGTAACCAACATTGATATGTCTTCACTGATTGAATTAATGGTAGTTAACGGCTGTTCACAACAAACAATATTAAGACGTGTGTTTTGTAATTCAGTTGATGCACCACAGGTTTGTCTTCTAACATATGATTCACCATTAAATAGCATACAAAAATAGGCACTAGAAAATTGACAAGAAGAAAAAAAAGTTATGACGAGACAAGTCTTTTGAGTATAATTTTTACCGATCATAGGCAGCCTTTTCATTTTTGTATAAACCCATCGACGATATAAATGTATTCATTTCATCGAAAATTTGTATGATCGATTTATGCTTCTTTAATTCGGCTAATAAACTTTCGATTGACGCCGAACAACTAGGAAATATACGAACAAAGATAATAAAAGCAGTCTACTAGTTTCTTGTTTGAAAAAAGGAAAACAAAACCGACGAACGATAGCCGAAAAATAGAATTCGAATGACTTACTTAAGATGAGAATCTTCAGGTTTTATTTGTTTCCATTTTTCAATATCAACCAATGCGGCAGATTTTGCTAGCATAGACAAACAAAACGCAAAAGCCTAATAGGGATGTACAGAAAGAGATGTATGAACCGTACCACTGCATGGCAATGCTGTTATAGTTGCATAAATAATAAATGGTTGTGTTTTTCCAAACCACGATCTGATAAATGCATGTTGACACAAGTGAGCCACAGACGGTAAAAGTGTTGTTGTTAACATCATTGTTGTAATGCCGAATTGTGGCGAATATTGTTCAAAATAGAACATAAATTTTCATTGAATATTTCATCAAGTTCAACAGTTGCACTGGCATAATAATTCAACCGACGTTGTAAAATTTCAAAGTTCATTGCTTGATCACGTAATGGTGGTTAATAAACGTTCAAACAAAAAATATTGCTGAAACAAAAAGGAATAAGTGATGCTGTTGATGTTTATTAATAACAAACACAGAAAAAACGATAGATCGTAATCGCTGTGTTGTGAGATACTAAATGTACGTTGTTTTCTGCTTATCTGAAACATAAAGCGATCAAATAATTTCTTTAA